GGCACACGGGCAAAGCCCGGCTGGTGGGAGCAGAGGAGATCTGTCCTGCCTGCGCACCGCAGAGGACGGGAGGACAAATACGTGCTGGGCTGAGAGCTGTGACCATCGTTTTGCTGCGGTTTAGGAGGTCTGCATAATACATGAATGATGCATTTTTCATCTCCTGGCCCTACCGCCTATCTATAGAAAACAGGTTGCTTGCAGTATTTTTGGTAAGGAAATTACTTCAGGGGCTGGTTGGGTTTGGTTTTTTTTCAAGAAATAAATGAGCAAACAAACATCCCATACCCTCCGTACCATCTGGCTGCTCCATGGTGTGGTCCGCCCTGTTTTTTTTTCGCCTTTCCGATGGGAAGCAGCACGTGAAAGCCAGCGGAACGGCCGAGGGAAAACGTTACGCAGGGTAAGACGGCACACGGGCAAAGCCCGGCTGGTGGGAGCAGAGGAGATATGTCCTGCCTGCGCACCGCAGAGGACGGGAGGACAAATACGTGCTGGGCTGAGAGCTGTGACCATCGTTTTGCTGCGGTTTAGGAGGTCTGCATAATACATGAATGATGCATTTTTCATCTCCTGGCCCTACCGCCTATCTATAGAAAACAGGTTGCTTGCAGTATTTTTGGTAAGGAAATTACTTCAGGGGCTGGTTGGGTTTGGTTTTTTTTCAAGAAACAAATGAGCAAACAAACATCCCATACCCTCCGTACCATCTGGCTGCTCCATGGTGTGGTCCGACCTGGCCGTCAGTCAAGCATCCTCTGACAAGCTAGGGCAGATGAGTCGCTTCACCCTTGAAAAAAAAGAAGAAACAGATACTTTTAATTTAACAAACAGCTCCAACATTTGAACTTCACCTCTCCTTAAAGCCTCAAACCTCTTCACAGGCCACCCCCCCTCTCCTTCCCCACACCCAGCTGTGCCTGCGAAGCACTCTCAGGCTGCTCCAATCAATAGCTCCTCTTCCAGCGGCGACAACTCGTGCTGCACGGACGCATCCCAGGCCGCTGGTTCTGCTAAAACATCCCCTGCCTTACCGGTGGTTCTGACTGCAAATGAGGAAAGACAGACATTGGGGATCATTTCTGTCGGGCTTGAGATGGATGGCACAAGGGCTCTTCGCTGGCTCCTGTCAGCTGGGTAGATCCAGCGTAATAGAACATCTCTGAAAACAGCAAGGGACGTAAACTATACACAGAAATGACTGGTTTGTCACCTTTTTTTCTTCTTAATGCATAATAACCGAAGATTCAAAATTTATGTTAAACCTTATTCAAGCTAACCCCGGTATTTCAGAGCACATCCAGACTGTCCTAAAGAACCTTCACCAAATTGCACTAAAATGCAGACAAATTGCTTTCATAGAATCACAGAATCACAGAATGGTCGGGGTTGGCAGGGACCTCTGTGGGTCACCCAGCCCAACCCCCTGCCCAAGCAGGGTCACCCAGAGCAGGCTGCACAGGACCTTGTCCAGGCGGGGCTGGAATATCTCCAGAGAAGGAGACTCCACAACCTCCCTGGGCAGCCTGGGCCAG